AAGCAATATAAAAAAATATTTAACTAACAAAAATCAAAACATAAATTATTTCTTACCACATGTCAATACAATAAAAATGAAAGTCTATATCGAGTAAGTTAAGTTAACAAAACAAGAGGATATTAACTTAATAATCTATGTTATTTATTTAACAAAATCAATATAAACAGAATAAGTAAGAGAATAAAAAACTTAAATAATACTAAAAAACTTAACTAACAAAAAGAATATAAATATTTAAGCTAATTATTTAAGAAATCAACATTAAGAAATTAATTAACTAAAAAACTAATACGAAAATTAAGTTTTACAAAATATTAGTTTTTAAAAAAAACACTTAAAATATATTGACTTGATATCTGACTAACTACTTAAAAATTCATATAAAAATATTTAACTAACAAAAAATTTATGTCTTCAAAATATCAATATTTTAAAATGGTGTGTTTTAAAATAAAATAAAAATCAATATCAAGAGAGGTAAATTATCAAAAGAAAAAGTCGTATAAAGTAAAATTAGCTTGATATTTAGGCTAACTACCATAGAAATATTAACTAAAAAAAGCAAATTATGGTATAAGCTTTTGAGAGAAGTTCACTTACAATTTAGAATAACGAGTTATAGCATGTCAAAATAGCATTTTAATTAATTTAAAAAGTAAATTTAACAAAAAAAGCATTTATATAAAAGATATTTAATTAATATATATGCTACCTATTTGAAAAATTAATAACAAAAGAGATTAATTAAAAATATATATGTTTTAAGTATATCAAACCTGCAGAAAATTTGATAATTAAAATAAAATATAAAATTACCATTGAAGATATTTAAAATAACAAAAAACAAGATCTAAGAAGAAAATTAGTTTGAAATATAGTTCCAAAAACATTCATGATTTCTAAAATATTGGTGTTGACTATGAATAAACATATAAAGTTTTAATAGGTTATACAAGTTTCTAAATCAAACATATTATTTAAATTTACAAAGATTAATACCGTGATTGTGCCTGGTTGAAAAATTAACAAAGTAAAACACTACACATGTAACTTTATATTCAAAATATAATAAGTAATAAAGTCTGATTTGTATACATATTTACTGCTTATAACTTAGTCAATATGAACAACACATGAGCAACATCCTCTAAAATTTTATTTAAATAATATAATATGACAAAGTTATGAATCAAATTCAAATGGGAATATATGAAGATAAAATATTCAAATCAAAACATGAATAAACACACAAAAGATAAAAAAAAAACAGTGATAATGTGAAGTCTCAACATCATCTTACATGTTTAAAAACAAATATTAGCAAATAGTTGACTGCAAATAAAACAGATCTTATAAACTGAATAGAGATATAACCTAAAATTCGTAGAAGATCTGGTGGAGAAGCAAAAAGCAGCTTTACACGATTAGTGTAGCTTACTAACAAAAGTAAATCTGAATCAACATATATCATATATTATATATGTATATGTACACAATATTAGTGAGACATTTAGTAAAGAAACTAAATATTTAAACATATAAACCTTTTAAAAAAAAAGAACCATAGAAATCCTAAGGATACAAAACAAAACACCAAAAATTTGGTAAGTAAATCATTTTCTAAATCAAATATATGCACATCAAAGTTGGATAATTCGTTAGATGTCATTACTATGATTTTACTTAATAAGATTTATAATTTTATAAACAAAATAGGAAATACTACATATTATGTTTTAATTTTTTATATAAAAGAAAATTTCTACAAATATATTATAGTTTTGATAATTTAAAAGATATTAGCCAAAAAATTAAATTAAATTAAATTATTAATACAGACTCGCGTGTAGCGCGAATTAAAAGCCTAGTTACTAATAAAAGTTGATGCTAAATGCCTCTAAGGGTGTCCACATAGGATTAAAAAATTTGATATGATTGGTCCACATCAGCATTTTTCATTAAATAAGAAAAATATTATGTATGATTAAACCTTAATTTCGTTTTAATCATAAAAAATTAAATAAAAACTTAAGTAACGTATAGAAAAGAAAACTATGTTAAAAACCCAAAAAAATACTATCCTTAAAAATAAAATAGAAGTTTGTTTTCAAACGAGTTAAACTAACAAAAAATCAATAAAAAAATGTTAAGTATGATTAAACCTTAATTTCGTTTTAATTATGGAAAAATTAAATAAAAAAACTTCGGTAACATGTAGAAAAGAAAACTATGTTAAAAATTTTAAAAATAGTATCCTTAAAAATAAAATAGAAATTAGTTTTCAAAAGAGTTAAACTAACAAAAGAAAACAAATATCATATAAATTTAAACGTATAATATATATTAGGAAAATTCTAACTTCTAAATTAACTGACAAGAAAATATTAAACATTGATTTCATTTTATAGATGGAAAATTAAAATAGAAAAAACTTAAGTAACAAATAGAAAAGAAAATTGTGTTAATTGCATCCGTTAAAATTTAAAACATTAATTTTGTTTACAGATGAAAAAAATAAAATAAAAAGGCTTAAGTAACAAATAGAAAAGAAAATTATCTTAAATAACCAAAAAAGTATCCTTAAAAATGGAAATTTATTTTCAAAAAGATAAACTAACAAAAAAACAAAATCAATATCATAAAAGCTCAAACTTATAATATATATTAGGAAAATTCTAACTTCAAATTAATTGACAAGAAAATAAAAAAAAACATTAATTTCGTTTTATAGATGGAAAAATAAAATAAAAAAACTTAAGTAACAAATAGATAAGAAAATTATATTAAAAAGCTAAAATATAATATCCCTTGAAATTTAATGGAAAAAGTCAAAGTAACCAAAAAACTAATATCGTAAAAATTAAAATTTATAGCATAGATTAGAAAAATTTATAACTTATAATGCTTGCACATACAAATATATAATAATAATATCATATACTGTGTAGATGCTATTAGAAAACTGATCATCGTCAACGACGATAACTTTCTTTGTCCAGTTAAGCTAATGATATCACTAATAGTGGAAGTCATAATAAAATAAATGTTCACTTGCAATTACAAAGATAAGCATGTTAACCCAACAACTCATTTATATATTCTAATCTGGAATACAATCTATGTTTATTTAATACCTTTTTACATTTTTTAATCAGTGGGCCAATTGTTCGTGTTGCTCTTTAGCTAATTTTCAAAGAAAAATAATGAAAGTGTTGTCAAACCTGTCGTATTCCTGGCAAAATTATGAACCCAATAAATATTTCAAAGTTTGTAATCTTAAACATATAATTACCATTGTTTTACTATTCTTTATAAAAATATGATGAATCCTAAAATAAACTAGATAATAAGATTTGTTTAACTCTTAGCATCATATTTTAAATTGCATCATATAGAAGTATTATTTTTGTACTCCACTTTATCCACCCGTTTTTTTCTGACAAAAATATTGAAGCAACTACTGACTATACTGACTATTTGACATGGTAATTACGTTCACATGTATTACCTCACTATACTTTAATTTCCTAATGTGTTTTTAGATATAAAACCAAACTGTTTTAAAGTTATTATGATATGATGAGAAATTAAACATATTTTTATTTAAAATTTTTTTTAGTTTTCAACATGTTATAAATTTATGCTTCAAAATAAAATAGGAATCATTATCAAAAGAGGCAAATTAACAAAAGAACATGTCGTATAAAAGAAAACTAACTTGGGCTAAAATTTTTAAAAAACTTAACTAAAATAAACAACAAAGGAAAAGTATTTGTATAAAAGAAATTAATGTGATGTCAATGATATCTATTTAGAAAATCAACAATAAAAGAGCTTAATAAAAAGAATATAAGTCCTAAGTATATCAAACATACAAAAAAGTATATAAGTTACAATAAATAAAAAATTACTATCAAAAGACAAAATAAAATTTTAAAAAAGTTAATTTAAAATTAGTTTCAAAAAGTTCCTTCCTGATTTCTAAAGTATTAGTATCAACAACGAATAACTATCTAAAGTTGCAATATGTTTACATGAGTTTCTAAACCAAACATACTTTTAAATAAAGAATGATTAATACATTGGCTGTTTTTTGTTTAAAACCTAACAAAGAAAAAATTATATAAATAACTTTACACTCGATATTTAACAAGTAGTAAAATCTAATTTTTATACATATCCACTACTTTTATTTGAACCAACATAAAAATATTCTAAAATTCAATTTAAATAATAAAGTATGACATAGTTATGAATCAAACTCAAATTCGTATATGTAGATAAAATATTCAAATCAAAACATGCATATTGCACAGAAAAGATACAGTAAAAAATAATGCAAAGACTCCACACCACCGATCCTACAAGTTAGAAAACTAAAATTATTAAATATTAGACTGTAAAAAAATAGATATCAATGAAGACTAAATAAAAACATAAGCTAAAACTCTTGTAAGCCAAGGTGGAGAAGGAAGAAATAGTTTTGCATGATCATTGCAGTTTTCTAACAAAATTAAATGTGAATCAACATGAATCGTGGATTATATATGCAATGGTACATAACATCAATAAGACTTTCAATAAAAAACTAAATAGTTGAACACATAAATCTTTAAAAAAACTATAAAAATTTTATGGAAACAGAAAAAATACCAAAATTTGAGCAAGCAAATCTTTTTCTAAATCAAATGTATATGTATGTCAAAGTTGGATAATTTGATAGGTGTCATTGTTATTATTTTACCTAATAATTTTTAAAATTTATAAATAAAAAATAGGAGAAAATTACACATTATTTATTAAATTCTCTTATATAAATGAAAATTACTATAAATATATTATAGTTTTAATAATTTTAAAGATAGTAACTAAAAAAGAATTTAACCAAACTACTAATACAAACTCACGCGTAACTTGAGTTATATACCTAGTAATGTAAAAAACACCCACGTATCTTTCTTTGAGCATTAATATAACATGAAAATATTGAAATATTTTCAACTGTTGTGCACAAAAATCCTTAAACGCTCAGAAGCTGTCTTGAAGGTAGTCCCAATTTTCTCAACAGCAGCAAGTGCCAACATCCTTTGACTCTCCTCCACTCGACAAGGAAAACAAAGGTCAACCCTTTCCAACACACGACCACACCGAATCAGAAACTGCAACACATGTAACTCGTACGAGCTTCCACTGAAGTTCCTCAACTCCACAACCTTCAACGTCTTCTTTGAGCACCCAGAGGTTGATTTCAAACCTCCAATAAGTTTCTGGATCAATCCCAGAAGTTGTTGTTGAGACAGATCTAGGAGCAACCATTTGGAAAGTTAGAGTTTCCAAGTCTAGACAGCTGTTGATCATGAGCCTATCCCAATAAACTCACTGGGAAGCATATTTATCTTCATTACCAGATGTTGTATTTCCATTGATGCTTGCATTATCCTCACCATCTTGAATCAGTTGAATGAGAAAAGGACAGAATGTTAACTTCTTGGCGGATAACAGATTGTAAAGGAGACCACAAAGAAGTGTTCCTGTTTCTTCATCGTACTCTGTCTCCGCCCCAAAATCCAAGTATGCTTCTTCCATTATCCTATTCACTCTTACAAACTAAAAGTAACGAACTTTTCCTCAGTACTTGAAGATCTGAATATTGGGCAAGTCGAGTGTAGAATAGGTGGTGGCCAAATCGCAATTCTCAAATACTAATTCTCTTAACCGGCTGTTATCTCTGGTTATCTCTTCGAGACCAACGTCCCAGCAATTTTGCATGCTTAGACTCTCGAGAATTGGAGTCCTTGATATATAAGACATGATGTTTTTGAGTTGGATCCACCCGAAAGAGAGAAGTTTTAGCGTACCTGGTTTTGTGAGCCTTGATGGATCAAAACCGCAAGCAAAAAGCTTCAGTGACTCGAGGCTTGTTAGATTGTAAAAGCATGCAGGCAATTGAACCAAAATTGCTTTTGTTGCTGCTTCATTATTGGTGATCCAAGAACGATCTAAGATATCAAGAACTAGATTCTTGACTGGTTTTGGGACGACGAATTCAATAAGTGAGTTGATTTCTGTTTCGAAACCCACCGGTTTTGATAGAGAAAGTTCGAAACTTTCGATGGCTTCACCGGAAAATCTTGAAACCCATTCAAGCATGAGCTGCACGAACGAAACCCTAGCCACCCTTTTGGTTTCTTCATCGTCTGAAACAGAACATTTCACAAATTCGGACTCTCTGAAAGCGATGTTGGTAATTTTAAACCAGAAATTCCTCCAGCACTTTGAAATCTCACTCGTTTATGATTTTGGAAAAGAAAGGATTCAGAAAAATCGTTGTGCAGATTTTTTTTTTGTAGGTCCACAAGTAAATTTGCATGCGAAATTTCAATATATGTATAATAACTAATATTCATGTACCAAATTTTAAAAGTTGACTATCTTTTTTTTTTTTTTAATTATATGTTTGTCATTTAGGTATTTACCTTATAGCATGTATCATGTATCAAGTGGAATTGCATATTAAATGAAAAACTAATATAAATTAATAAAAAAGTTCCATTTGTATTTAATTTATATTTATTTATTTTAGTGTAGAACTAAAAAATAATATTGGTAAAAAAAACTAAATAATAATATTAAAAAACTAAATAATTTACAAAAATTAAAAGTTTTGTAAAATTGTTGATCTACACAAAAAAACACCTAAATACTTTAGATTTGACGCATTAGAAAAATACGTATAGAATTGACTTTTAGTATTTAACTTTTTAGTACTAAAATATAATTATTTGTTTAATTTGCATAATATGATTGTTTTGTATTTATATGTTTGATCTACATAATATATGTAATATGTACTTTTGAATCTATGTCACAATTCACAGCATTTAGTCACACAGTACCAATACAACTTTTGATAGCATAAATTATTTGTGTTAACATCAAACTATTTTTTGACTAAAATGACAAAACTAGCAATTCATCCTTAATAAAACCCTTTAAAAATAACTAAGACAAAAAATATTGCTGTATTATAAGTGATAATAAAAGTAAAAATAATTACAAGAAACTTTTGCTTTTCGTTTTGAATTAAGAAAAAGCATTTAAACTATACTATTTTTTAGCATGCTAATACAATCTGTTTTAAAGCAAATAAAAGCTTCTGCTGCTGCTTCATTATTGGTGATCCAAGAAGAGAAATCAAGAACTAGATTCTTGACTTGTTTTGCGACGACGAAATTGATAAGAAAGTTGATTTCTGTTTCGAACCCACCGGTTTTGATAGGGAAAGTTCGAAACTTTCGATGGCTTCACCGGAAAATCTTGAAACCCATTCAAGCATTAACCAAGCGAATGAAACCCTAGTGACCCTTTTGGTTTCTTCATCGCCTGAAACAGAATATTTCACGAATTCCGACTCTTTGAAAGTGATGTTGGTCATTTTAAACCAGAGATTCCTCCAGCACTTCGAGATCTCACTCGTTTATGATTTTGGAAAAGAAAGGATTCAGAGAAAATTGTTGTGCAGATTTGTTTTTTTAGGTACACAAATAAATTTGCACGCGAGATTTATATATATATATATATATATATATAATAACAAGAGGATTTGTTTATATGACATGTAATTTATTCATTTACCAAAATTTTAAAAGGTGACTATCTATTTTTAATTATATGTTTGCCAATTAGTTATTTACCTAAATTTAAAATTTATTGTTAAAAGTATCTTTTTATTTAGAAAATTATATATATTTTTTTAGTTTAGTTAAAAGTAGGTAAATATCCACACATTACATGAGACAATACTTACATATAATTTATCTATATATATAGCATGTTATTTATTCTTTTACCAAGATTTGAAAAGTTGACTATCTTTTCTCAGTAAAATAGAGGTTGATTGTAGAGAAATCTTATCTTGACTGTACGTAATGATTTTTATTAAAAAATTATTATTTAATAAATAAAAACTTTATTAATGATTTTTTTAAAAAATTATTAATCACTAATTTATTAATAATTCTTTTCAACATTTATTTTTTTATTTTTTTCTAGCTTAGATGAAAGTAATAATTTTTTTCATTAAGAAATTTTTTTTTATAAAGACTAAGATTTGATAAAAAATATTTAATTGTTAGATATGTATGTATTAATAATAAAAAAAGAGAATTTTGTTTTATAGATCTTATAAGGTATAAAATTGTAATAAGTTATTAATGAATATTTACTAAAAAGTATCAAATTGTTTATGTATTTGTGATTATATTTATGTTTTATTTTCCTCAAATCATTACATATCATGATTTTAAATAGATTTTTTTTTTAATTTTCAATTCTTTAATTGTGCATATGCAGCCGTCCGCAACCACAATTGTTCGTGAGAAGAAGTTTTTGATTTTGAAGGATCTACAACGATTCAAAGCAATAAAAAATGTTTGAGATTATTTTTGTCAAATGCTAACAAGTGCTACAATATGCAAAAACTTCATCCGTTGGTATTAGTGGGAGAACTAATAAAACTCAACAATCATAAATTCTATCTATCATGAAAAATAATTTATGATTATATATTATTAATCTACACAGACCAATTATCTATTTATTATAAATGATAAATTTAAATATAATAAACAACTTATTTTTAATAAAAAAACATATACTCGCATGTATGTGCAAGCCAACCACCTACAATAACGTTATTTCTTTTTTTATCAAGATTTGAAAAGTTGGCTATTTTTTTATTTTTGTAATAACTTTTTTTCATTTAGTTATTTAACTAAATTAAAAAACTATTGTTAGCTAGAAATATACTATGTGTATTTTTTATTTGAGAAAATTAATTGATTTTCTTCTTTTATATTTACACTAGGTTATTGTTAGGCTACGTTAGACGCTGACACACGCCATGCTAGCTCGCCCAACCCACTCCCGCGTACTGTTTCGGGACAGTTTGCAGGTTTTCCTATACACGCCAAAATCATTAACCTCATCCGCTCCTCTGGCACGCCGCGTGAAAGGGATAAGACGAAGAGCCTGCGACTGTAAGTAAGGAGAGGAAAAAGGACCAATGGAGGAAGGAAAGAAGAGAGAGAGAACCAAGGGATAGGGAGAAAGGAAACCCCTCTGAAAGAGGCGGTATCTGCTCATGTCAAAGTTGGTCGATCCAGGCAAGCAACATGATCACGGGCGAACTGCGTGTTCCTCCCGGGTGAATGCCGACCAGTTTAAGTCATTCCTAACCCGGAACCCCGCCTTTAGACTCGCTCGGTCTTCCTTTCACCACGTAGAAACCCCTTTAAAACAAACGAAAGCAGATAGAAACCTCGATCCCCCGATGAGACTTCTCACACTAACCCATAGAAAACTCCCCTCCCGAGTACTCGTTTCCAGTAGGATATTCATTGACTTGAGCGTCGGAGAACCTTCGGGAGGGAAACCCCCTTTCGGTCCTCACAGAGGCTCGTCTGACCTTTTTTGAGTGTTGACAGGATCGAGCATCGCGTTCATCCCTTCGCGCCAGGACGAGAAGCTTCCATCCCGGAACGACGACTCGCCGCCTTTTCCCACAGAGGACAAAACTCGGAGGCTCAGCTCCTATGCCCGACGAATCGTATATCCCCACGTGGCATCCCAAAATTTTCTCCCGAACAGTTGGCGCTAGAAGGAAGGGAGATCACCAGTGAACATTCCGCAAAAGAAGCGAAGCACTCGAAGTTAGCTGCGCAGAGTATGCAGGTCGAGCAGGCTACGATTCTGCTCAACCGTCTCGGGGCTTCGGGACCATTACGCGTATTGGTCCCGAAACCGAGACTCCGGATCCACAAGATAGAGTAAAACGCGAAAAGAACGTGTAAGAGACAAAGGTATGCGAAATAAAATAAAGTGCATTTTCAAAGAAGAAACAGGCCAAAAGCGGCTACCGATTCAGGTCTAAAGGTGAAATTTACAAGGGGAACAAGTCCCCAAAACGAAGAAGTATCTGAAAAATCCAGCGGGCGCGAAGGTTCCGCCGGTGAAGAAGGGCATGCGCCTCCTGTGCCTTCAGCCGCCCCCGAAGCATCTGCCCCCCTTGACCTATCGTGTCGTCGCTCCTCCTCGAGCTCCCACTTGAGCACGCAGATCGTGGTTTGGCTCGTTGAGAAAGCCTCAGCAGCAATCAGCACTAAATCCACCTCGCCCCGGGAGCAAACCCTCAGTACACCGAGATGGTTTAGCGGAGCGTTTCCACTTCCGAGTTGCGTGCCTCCAGATCCCGCTGGCTTTCCGCCAGCGCCAAGGACAGGCATTCCATCTCCGCGCTGAGATCTTCCCCACAAGTAGAAGGTTGAGCCTCGGCGAGCTGGTCTCGAGTGATTAGAAGTTTGGCCTGGAGCTCGCTAGTCCTGTCGGCAAGGCTGCGCTCACGATGCTTGGTAGTGTTAAGCCCGTGCTCCAGCCTCTCAAGCGAACGCTGGCTCTGTCAGTAGGCAAAGAAACCGATAAGACAAAGGTAAGAACCGGAAAAGTAGAGGAAGATGTCCCGAGAAAGTAGCTTACCGCATCCAACCACTGGGTAAGTTCTAAGGCGGTCAGCCGCCACCCAGTGGGCTTGTGGGTTAAGCGAGCAGTCGGACGAGGAGGCACGAACATCGGCTCCGACTCCGAGGAAACACTCATCGCCTTCAGTGAGGCTAGAGCGGCAGGGACCGGTGTAACAGCTCGTGCGACTCTGGACCTCTTGTCAGTCCCCAAATACTTTGGAGCAACAGGATCTCTCGGAGCCCCACCGCTGGCAGTTGAGGCCGACTCTGAAGAGCAGCAAGCGGGGATGGCAGAAGATGGGCCCGGGGACCATGTCGCCCACACCAAGGGAGGCCCGGTGAGGCACCGACGGTACGAAGGCCGGGACAAAACTTCTCCCTCAGGAGAGTTGGCTTGAGGCCTTCGGCGTGGCGTTTGGATGGGCGTCCTCCGGGTGGCCCGCAAAAATCCCATATCTCATCGATCCGGCTCGGAGAACCTGCCAAAGCGAGAGCCCACAAGTGAGCAACGTAGAAGCAGCGCAGGGCCGGAAGTAGAAGAGTAAGGGTTGATTTAGAGAAAGATTTTCTTGCTAAGATTTTTGTATTATTTTTTGTTTTTAATAGAATTTCTATAGTTCTTTTTTCTTGAAGGTTTAAGTGTTCAAATATATATATATATATATATATTTTATTATTGAAAGTCTTATTGATATTATGTACCACTGCATATATAATCTATAATTCATGTTGATTCGCATTTAATTTTGTTAGGAAGCTGCACTGGTCATGCAAAACCATTTTTTCCTTCTCCACCATGTCTTCCAAGAGTTTTATGTTATATTTTTATTTAGTTTTCATTGATATCTATTTTTTACAGTGTAATATTTGATAATTTTAGTTTTCTAACTTGTACAATCGGTGGTGTAGAGTCTTTGTATTTTTTACTGTTTTTATCTTTTGTGTGCAATATGCATGCTTTAATTTGAATATTTTATCTACATATAGCAATTTGAGTTTGATTCATAAATATGTCATATTTTATTATTTAAATAGAATTTTAAATGTGTTATTCATGTTGATTCAGATATAAGTAGTGGCTATGTATAGAAATCATATTTTACTATTTGTTAAATATCGAGTGTAAAGTTATTATAGTTTTTTTCTTTGTTAGTTTTTAAATCATAAATATCAAGTGTATTAATCATTGTATTTTATAAATATGTTTGGTTTAGAAACTCATATAAACCTATTGCAACTTTAGATATTTATTCATTGTTGATACTAATACTTTAGAAATCAGGAACTATTTAGAACTAATTTCAAATTATTTTTTAAAAATGTTTTTTTGATAATTTACATCTTTAGATAGTAGTTTATTTATT